CTGCAGGTCAGGAAAACCAGAGTGATATCATTATTAGATATATAGTCAAGTGAGACAATGACTGAACCTGCTGATATCAACTCACAGCTATGGTACCACTTTCTACTAGGCATTGCTTTTTATGTATTTCAGTGTGGCATAGTACAGTCTATGCACTACAAAGCAGAAGTTTATTTTTGAATAACAGCAAATTCTTCAGTTAGGGCTACTATTTGTAGCCTCCTTCTTTGTACAGGGGCTGGTTATCAGTTTACAAATGCAGTTTTCCTTTATCACAGGGGAAATATTCAGCCCATATTACACAGGGCTGGTCATAGATGGTATTGTCGTCCAAAGAAGTTTGAAGCAGTTTTCCAGCGCGGTTGTAATACTAGCAGTTCTGGCTGTGGGGAGGTAACATTCTGGCTCATTACTCTTTTTTTCTGGTGTGATAATATCTAATCTAATCTTTGCCATGCATGTATGTCCTAGCAGGCTGTGATAAGGATTCATTCATAAGGTATATTACTAGAATTTGGACATTGAAAAGTGATGTGAACCAATAGAGGGTGGTTGGACATGCAGGCATATTCTGACTGCATTCAGGCACCCTTCTCTAAATATGAATCGTCACCTGAAAAGATTATCAGTTCTTTATCTGGTATGGCTACTTTTAAAAGACCTTGTCACCAACTTGCAAATTGCAGGTAAAAGTACTGAGAAATCAGCTATTTTAACAATCTGTGTGCAGATGCATTGTTCCTTTAAGCTTGCATAGGAATTTGAGCACTCCAGGAATAGTCAATACACTAGCACAGTCCGAGTTTCACCTTCATCATGCCACATCATAGCCCTCTCCTCTTCTGAGAGTGTCTAATTACTGTATGTGCTGGCCCGGCTCCCCTGCCCCTCCCCTCACCTATCTACATAACCTTTAATGTAGCTGTGAGTGTCACTGTCAGGCACTGTCATTCAAGGGACAGAGTCTGACATCACATCAAAGGTGGTGGGCCAAATTAGCAGTCCACAGGCTTTTGTATGTCTACACATGTAAGACTTTCCCAAGTTACTAACATGAATAAAATATGTTAAATGCACATATAATCTTCCAGGTTGATTGTTGTTGAGGTGAGTGGCCTGGCAACAGGTTCTTTTTAAGGTCATTGTTCCCAGCCTTGCTTTTGATGCTCCAATGTTTGTTCATTCACCCGTCAGCTGAATGAAGTTTTGAAATTAAGTATAGTCACACAGTTGGACTTGGGAAGATATTATTATTCTGACCACACCACTTCTTACAGCCCCGGATCTGTCTGGATTTTGTCGGAACACGGGGTTCCAACGTTGAAGTTCCGATGACGGGCCTTGGTGTCGGAAATGGGAGTTATGATGACAGAACACGGGACTCCAGAGTTGGAACTTGGAGTTCCAAAGTTGGAACTGTCAGGGTTCCAAAGCTGCAGCTCACAGTTCCAGAGTCAAACCATGGGGCTCCAGAGACGGACCATGGGGCTCCAGAGTCGGAACTCCGAGTTCCAAAGTCGGAATTTGGGGCTCCAGAGTCACACCATGGGGCTCCAGAGTTGGAATTCAGGGCTCCAGATTCGGAACTTGGAGTTCCAAAGTCGAACCACGGGAGTTCCAGAGTTGGACCATGGGGGTTTCAGAGTCAGAACTCAGCACGGGGTTCCAGAGTCAGAACGTGGAGTTCCAAAGTTGGAACTGTTGACGTTCCAAAGTTGCAGCTCGCATTTCGAAAGTTGGAACTGTTGGCGTTCCAAAGCTGCAGCTCTCAGTTCCAGTATCGAAACTCAGGTCTCCAGAGTCGGAACTCGGAGTTCCAAAGTCAGAATTCAGGTTTCCAAAGCTGGAGCTCGCAGGTCCAAAGTTGGACCATGGGGCTGCAGAGTCAGAACTCGGGGCTGGAGCTCGCAGTTTGAGAGGCAGACCACGGAGCTCCAGAGGCGAACCTCTTGGAGTTCCAAAGTCGGAATTTGAGTTTCCAAAGTTGGACTATGGGGTTCCAGAGTTGTAACTCGGGAGTCCAGAGTCGTAACTCGGGGCTCCAGAGACAAAATTCGGGTTTTCAAAGTTGGAGCTCGCAGTTCCAAAGTCAAACCATGGTGGTCGGACCATGGGGGCTCCAGAGTAAGAACTTGGAGTTCCCAAGTCAGAATTCGGGTTTTGAAAGCTGGAGCTTGCAGTTCCAGAGTCGGACAATGGGGGCTCCAGAGTTGGACCATGGGGGCTCCAGAGTCGAAACTCAGAGTTCCAAAGCTGGGGCTCGCAGTTTCAAAGTTGGACCATGGGGTTCCAAAGTCAGAACTCGGCATGGGGCTCCAGAGTCGGAACTTGGAGTTCCAAAGTTGGAACTGTTGGAGTTTCAAAGCTGCAGCTTGCAGCTCCAGAGTCTGAACTTGGGGCTCCAGAGTCAGAACTTGTGGCTCCAGAGTCGGAACTTGGAGTTCCAAAGTCAGAATTCGGATTGCCAAAGCTGGAGCTCGCAGTTCCAAAGTTGGACCGTGGGGTTCCAAAATTGGACCATGGGGTTCCAAAGTTGGACCATGGGGCTCCAGAGTCAGAACACGAGGCTCCATAGTCAGAACTTGGAGTTCCAAAGTTGGAATTCGGTTTCCAAAACTGAAGCTCGCAGTTCCAAAGTCTGAAATCTTGGAGTTCCAAGGTTGGACCATGGGGGTTCCAAAGTCAGATCATGGGGTTCCAAATTTGGAACTCGGCACGGGGCTCTAGAGTCAGAACTTGGAGTTCAAAAGTTGGAACTCTTGAACTCTTGGAGTTCCAAAGCTGCAGCTCGCGGTTTCAAACTCCGACCATGGGGCTCCAGAGTCGAAACTCGGGGCTCCAGAGTCGGTACTCGGGGCTCCAAAAGTCAGAATTCGGGTTTCCTAAGCTGGAGCTTGCGGTTCCAGAGTCAGACCACGGGGGCTCCAGAGTCGGACCACGGGGGCTCCAGAGTCGGACCAAGGGAGCTCCAGAGTCGAACCACAGGGACTCCAAAGTCGGAATTCGGCATGGGGCTCCAGAATCGTAACATAGCGTTCCAAAGCTGGAACTGTTGGAGTCGGAACTTGGGGCTCCGAGTCGGAATTCGGGGCTTCAGAGTTGGAACTTGGAGTTCCAAAGTAAGAATTTGGGTTTCCAAAGCTGGAGCTTGCAGTTTCAGAGTCGGACCACAGGAGCTCCTGAGTCAAACCACAGGGGCTCCAGAGTCGGACCACAGCACGGGGGCTCCAGAGTCGGACCACGGCACGAGGGCTCCAGAGTTGGACCACGGCACGGGGGCTCCAAAGCTGGACTACGGGGGGCTCCAAAGTCAGAACTCGGCACGGGGCTCCAGAGTCGGAACACGGAGTTTCAAAGTTGGAACTGTTGGAGTTCCATAGCTGGAGCTTGCAGTTCCAGAGTCGGACTACGGGGGCTCCAGAGTCGGACCACGGGGCTCCAGAGTCAGAACTCTTGGAGTTCCAAAGTCGGACCATGGGGGTTCTAAAGTCAGACCTTTGCACGGGACTCCTGAGTTGGAACCCGGGGCTCCAGAGTTGGAACCCGGGGCTCCAGAGTCGGAATTCGGACTTCCGAAGCTGGAGCTCGCAGCTCCAGAGTCGGACCATGGGGCTTCAGAGTCGGAACTCGGGGCTCCAGAGTCGGAACTCGGGGCTTCAGACTCAGAATTTGTCTTCAAAGCTGGAGCTCGCAGTTCCAAAGTCGGACCATGGGGGTTTCAAGTCGGACCATGGGGGTTTCAAAGTCGAACCTCGGGGGCTCCAGAGTCGGAACTTGGAGTTCCAAAGTCACAATTCGGGTTTTCAAAGCTGGGGCTCTCAGTTCTAAAGTCGGACCATGGGGTTCCACAGGTGGAAAACAGAGTTCCAAAGTCGATCCTCGAGGTTCCAAAGTCTTACTTCATGAGTGCATACTGTAGCCTTACTGTAAAGGACACATTTATTTTGTTCTTTAATTTTTGTAATTTGTACTTTCGAGTGGCACCACACTTGGTATAGTGTGAATTTTTTTATTATTGCTATTATTGAAATCTTAATACATTTTAATGTTAAACATCTTTAGTATTCCAACATCTAAATTTGGTTTTTACCTTAATGCATTTTACACAATTAAAAAAACAACCTCCAGTAAACTGTTAAAAATCTTACACAAGCACTTACTTTTAGGACTAGTTCACACCAGATAATGTCCAGTGCGTTTTTTTATGCATCAAAAATGCATGCACAGCGTTTTCCATGTACAATGGCTCTAGTTCACACCAGTGCAGTCAGTTTCAGTCAGTTTCCGGTGCAGAAAAAAAAAGTAGAATATGCTGCATTTTTTCTGCACAGAACTGTACTGGACCACAGCATCTGCATCAAAACTTCCCCTGGAACGGAGTGTGGTGTGAACTGCAAGCAAAAAACGTATCCATAATGCTTTTTGGGTACATTTCTTGTGGTGTGACCTGGCCCTGAATGCTGTTGGCTCCTGCTTTCTAAGTGCTACTTCCCTGAACTGTCTGTCTTCCAGGAAAGAGTTAACAGTGGACAATGCAGTCTACTGGCTTGGAGAAAAAAAGGGAGGGGGGAGGAAGGTGGAGCAGGGAAGTTCCTTGTCATCCTAGCTTATGGGGCTGTGTGTTTTTATTGATACACACAGTGTAGGGAGACACAATTCTAGTCCCTTATACAACGTACAAAGATGACTCCGTGCTGCAGATGCTGCAGGAGAAAGGAGCCACCCTGGATCAAAAACCTGGGGCAGTTATCATGGCACCAGCTTAAACAGGAACATAGAACTAAAATAAAAAGAAACTGCATACTCACTAAGTGATAAATTCAGTTGCTGAAAGTTTCTTCCACTTCATGACTAGTGGGTACCTGATTTAGATCCCTCTGACTCATACTGTATGTGTTTCAGCATAAGTAAAAATAAATTTTATCTGTGAGAATATATAGTATTACATGCTAGCATTTAAAAATATAATGTTACTGTTCGTTTTCCATTATTTTTTCCAGCTCTTTTTCTGCAGGGGTACGGGGTGGTCTTTTCACCTTCACATTCGCCAGACTGAATATCAGGATCCGAAACCTGTTATTCCGTTCTTTGATATCGCAAGAAATTGGTTTCTTTGATGAAAATCACACAGGTCAGAATCCTTCACCAGAGACACTGCAAACAATGAATGGGGACTGTTAGATTCTTCAGAGGAAATGAACAATTGTGTGTATATGTATATATAAATACATTCCCTGCTATATATATATATTTTTGTTTCTTTTCATAATTGTTATTTTAAAGTGATTGTAAAGTTTTGTTTTTTCTAATAAGAAACTTGTCATACTTACCTCCTCTGTGCAATGGTTTTGCACAGAGCAGCCCAAATCTTCCCCTTCTGGGGTTCCCCGCCAGTGCTCTAGGCTCTTCCTCTTCTCCATGTGCCACCATAGGAAGGTGCTTCCTATGATGGCACACGCAGGGGCTCGATCCTGGGTCATGCTTTGTGTGTCCATTGACACACACACACACATAGTGCGGCTCAGCCCTGCCCCTGCTATTTTGTCGCTGGATTGATTGACAGAAGAGGTATAGAGAGAGCAGCACCTCTGCTTTCTGGCACAGCGCTCAATCGAGATCAGGCTCAGGTAAGTATTTAGGGGCAGCTGGGGGGAGAGCTGACAATTAGGTTGTTTTACCTTAATGCAGAGAATGCATTAACAAATATGTAAACCCAACATTTCATATTGCTAATATGTGGCTGCTGTACCATGCATTTGTATGAAAAAGTATCCTGTTCTCTTTGTATTGCTTCCTTTGTATGAAATCCCTGGTGTTCCTGTCAGTCCCTCTGCTTTTGAAAACTGAACACACTAGGCAGGAGAGCATAGCGTGGTCAGTTCTCTAGCTGTGCTGGGAACTCAGTGGGCTCTCCTCCAATGATCAGACTTCTGTTGACATGCTCCCCTGCACAGCCATTCACCGGAAAGGTTAGTGTTCTGCTGTTTCTCATCCCCTAGCTCTTATGCAGAACAGTGGGACTATAATCTCTTATTAAAAAAAGAGGGGAAAAAAAGGTGTACGTATTTTTTTTTATATGTATACACAAATGTTTTGCTTTTCATTTCTATTTTAAACTGAATGGGTTGTTTTACAAGGTGGGGTTTACAATCACTTTAAGGTAAAAGCCTTCAGCCTTTACAACCACTTTAAATGAAAAAAGTAAATTCATAAACTTGCATATACTATGGTGTGACATCTTATAATATTGAACTAATCCCATGTTACCGTGGATGCCCTTTGGAAAATAGAACTGATCTTGATGGTTTTCACCCTAAAATGCATTCCATGTGTATTTATCCATTGTAACAGAATAATCCAGGCTAGACCAGTAGAACTATGTAAAATTTCCCATACCTTAAGTTCAACTTTAATTCATTAACCCTGGGTTCACACTGATACTGTGTGGCATTCGCAGGCATCACAATCACAGCATGTTCATGCGCACCGCATGTAAGTTAACAACACCCCCTGAAATCCGTCCGCAAAATGCAGTGCGATGTGCAGAATCGAATCGCATGGGTGTGAATACTTATGCGATCCGATTCTAGTGCGGACCAAAAAAAGGGTCCTGCAGCTTTTTAGTGCAGATGCGGCGCGATTTGAGCCATACAAAATGGCTCAAATTGCACCGCACAGAATTCGCATGTGATTTGCACAGGAATACGTTGCGGTTCTTGTACGAATCACATGCGGTATGCCGCACCGCACAAGTGTGAACACAGGCTTAGATGGATCATTTTGTTTTTATGCCACTGCTTATTTTATCTAATGATCATTTGTATCTAAATTGTAAAATCTTATCAGTAATTTTTCTCATAAAGAGTTATCACCACTGCTTCTTTTCCTGCTCTCCTCTGTAGACAGATATTGAAGGTCCACGTTTTCAGCTGCCTGAAGCTAATGATGGATATTGGAGTGATACCCTGTGTGATTTAACTTTTACATTGACTTGTTTGTAAGGACTGATGAAATAACATTGACAGGGTTAGAACAGTATTAGTAATAGTAAAACAGCAGTACTTACAGGGCAGGCCAAATAGATTGAGTTATGCTGTGAATTGAGATCCAGTGGTATCTGAGATCTGGCACTCTGCTCTCCCTCCACCTCTTTATCCCAAAATGTTGGTGGATTTTCATATTCCTCACATCCAATGCATTGACATCAGTGAGGTAGCACATGTCAGGAAAAGGGTGGCTATGAGGACAAGTTGCCCAAGAGGAAGAGTGTGTGGGACCTTGGAGTAAGGCTGGCCATACATTATACAATTTTCTTGAGATTTTTGGTTTAGATTTGCCAAAAACCGTATAATAGGAGGTCAAACCTAATAACACTTTCAGCTGTATCCAATTAGGCAGGCTCTTGCACTACATAGTTGAAGGTAAATCTAAAGGAAATTGTATAGTGTATGGCCAGCCTTAGGCAGTTATTGCACTCATTAGTGCTGAGCAGAAGATCCTGTGGGAGAGGAAGGAGGAAAGGCTTTGGGATGTCATTTTATATTTACAGCTGGAATAAAGTTTGACTTTAAGGCTCCATTTTCAATGACTTAAAGCGAGCTTCAGTCCCCATAGCAAATTTATTTTAAAAGCTGACCCAGTATTGTTTATTCTTTAACATTAATAAATGGATAATGTTATTTAGTATAGCCTTCTAATTAATTTAAATAAATAAAAGTTTACCTTGATCTCGGAAGCAGTCAGGCGCCATGATGGATGTGGGCATCTGAAGTCTATATTTCCTCGATCTCACACCTGCGCAGTAATGACACTGCTCAGCGCAATTTGTATACAACAGGTTGCCATAACAATGGTATAAATTACATTCACAGATCACGCAGTACACACACTCTGCATGTACAGCTTACATAGCTCAGCAAAGTCTGCAGCACAGCTGTTACACATCCTCCCCACAGATTGGACTCTGGTAAAATGGTGCCAAACTCCTCCCATTCGCTTCATTTCCAATTTTGAATTAACGTGATAGTCAGCGACTAGGAACCCAAAGGACTTCTGGGATACAGGACCCGACATCCCAGGAGACTTTGCGAATTGCCTTCATACGTCATCGCCTAGGTGGCCGGGATTGGAAGTGCAGTCTTTGCACATGATTTAAAGGTATTTACAATATTAAAAAATATATATGATTATCCTAATTGTTTAGGACAACACAGGAACAGTGTTAACAGAGCGACATTAACCAGTTCCCAACCGCGCTATAGCCGAAGGACGGCTACAGCGCGGTTGTCTAGTTTTGGGACGACGTCCATGAATGTCATTCCAGAACACACACCCCTGCGAGCCCCCAGCAGCACGCACCCGGCACCGCCAGTGATCACTGTGTCCTACGGACACAGCTGATCACGTGATACGGTAAACGGCCAATCACAGTGGCATTTTACCACGTGATCAGCTGTGTCCAATGACACAGCATATCACCGGGTAAATACAGTTGCTGGTTATCGGCTGCACTTTCCTCACACTGTCACAGCGTGAGGAAAGTACTGCCGAGAACCGGCAATTGTCAGCGAAGGGATCGGCACAGATGATCAGTGCCCAGCAGTGCCACCCACCTGTGCCCTGCAGTGGCACCCACCTGTGCCCATCAGTGCCACCCACCTGTGCCCTGCAGTGTCACTCACATGTGTCCATCAGTGCCACCCACCTGTACCCTGCAGTACCACCCACCTGTGCCCTTCAGTGCTGCCCATCAGTGCTGCACATCAATGCCACCCATCAGTGCCGCCCATCAGTGCTGCCCATCAGTGCTGCCCATTAGTGCCACCCATCAGTGACCATCAGTGCTGCCCATCAATGCCACCCATCAGTGCCCAACAGTGCCGCCCATAAGTGCTGCCCATTAGTGCTGCCTATCAGTGCAGCATCATCAGTGCCAGTTCATCAGTGCTGCCTACCAATGCCACCTATCAGTCCCTCCTATTAGTGCCCATTAGTGCTGCCTATCTGTGCCACCTCATCAGTGCTACCTATCAGTGCCCATCAGTGCAGCCTCATCAACACACACAACACATAATGTTTTTTTTTTTTTTTTTTTAATTTTTTTGCTCTTTTTTTGTTTATAGCGCAAAAAATAAAACACCCAGCGGCAATTAAATACCACCAAATGAAAGCTCTATTTGTGTAAAAAAAATTATAAATATTTCATATGGGTACAATGTTGCATGACTGCGCAATTGTCATTCAAAGTGCGACAACTGAAAATTGGCCTGGGCAGGAAGGGGGTAGAAGTAGGCAAGTGGTTAAAAAAGGGTGGCACTCCACTTTAAAGTGTTACTAAACCCAAGACCCTGCATTCATTATATCTGGTCTCCCACAGTACACAGAACATGGAAATGCAATTGTTTTAGTAAATACAAACTGCTAAATACCTTTTCTCATCAGCAGTATATGGCAGTCTTGTGACTTCTATCAGTGTCCAGCAGAGCACTGGTTAAAGCTTGTTGGAGGAGTTTTCATTCTGTTCTGACTGTCAATTGAGGCTGCATGACCCCTGACCCTCTGTCTGAACTGCACTAATTGGCCCTGTGCTGATCACATGCACCCTCTTAAAGAAAAAAAAAAACTCTCTGGCAATGCACACTAAACTGACCATATGCAGCTTGCCCCCAAGGCTCTGTTCAGTGCTGATTGGCCCTGTGATGATCACATGCACCCTCCCAAATTAAAAAAACCCTCTGGCCATAAACACTAAACAAAACATGTACAGAGTGACTCCTAGAGCTCTGTACTATCAGCAAATGGATTGGGGACAGTAGAAGAAGAGGAGGATCAGAGAAGACAGGATCAAACAGCCTTTTTACACAATGTAAAGGATCAACCTCTTAGGTTCTGCTGTGAGTATAACAAGCATGCTTTACTGCATATACAGACTGATTTTACTGTTGTGGGTTTAGTAACACTTTAAATTATAACTAAAGGCAATGCTTTTTTAGTTTTGTATAGAGTGGAGAGGCATTGGAACTCCTATGAGGTTTTTATTGCTACCTGTGTCCCCAT